AAGTTTGTGCAATAGTAATAGGTGAGAGCTGTTGGATAGATTGTATTACTATCCTGGAGTTCAATTTTAGGGAAGAATTTGAACCTCAGTCAACCCTTAATTGCTGTCTGTACCCCCACTATGCAGATTAACCCTCTCTATTTGTCCAGGAGACTACTGGCAGAAGATGATTGGAAATTCAAAATGTTATAGTTGTTATCAAAACAGAAAGAGACAGTATTTCTTAAAACATGGATGCCTGTTCTGGTGACAGCTGTCTATGAGAGGAATGTCCTTTACTTTGTATGGATTTCTTCTCACTTCCTATTGCATCCCAGGGACAGGAAGTGAAGGAAAATCTTTACTTGAAGCAGTAATTATTCATATATAGTTACCCGGATGGCTCTTTAACCCTTTTACTGTCAAAGGCATATTTAATAAGATGGTCCCAGTGCTGGCATGTATTAAAATTAGATGGGAGTTTGTTTACATTTTCAGCCTCCTTATAAGCCCACCTGTGATTGTAATAAAAGTTACTTACGAGTGTATACACACACATCGGGTGCATCATGTACGAAAATGATGATTGCCCCACAAACATATTAGGTATTGTCTCACATTCCAGGATCATTCTAGAGCCATCATTCACAGTTAATTCTAAATTGATGCATTATACAGCCTGTTAAACCATTGGCTATGGATGATTGTGGGTACCGTTTGTTTACGTCATTTAATGGACATTGAACACATCTACCTTGACATAGTTGGTATCTTTTTTTTTTTTAAAGAAATTGGTGTATTATATTGTGTTTGTGTATACAAAAAAATTAATTGAATTGTATTTTGTACTTAAAATATAGGGTTTATACACAGTTCTCCCTAATATTGGGTGGCATAAAAAAATTGCAACTACCACTATTTTATTCTACAGTGTCTATGCTTTCAGAAAATATATGATTTTTGGGCGGGTTTATGTAATCTTCAGGCCCAAAATGTGAAAAAGTGAGGGCAACAAGTGCATTAGTATCCCCTACCTATTTCCATAAAGAGTTAAAACAAAGAAACATACACAACAAATTACAATCTTTAATAAAATAAAACACAAACACACATCTTTCAATACTGGGTAGGTACCTTGCAAGTGGAAGCAGCAAAGCCCCTCCATTGCAACCAACCCTTGTCTTAATGGTGAGGGACAAGAGCCTCTTCACCACCTCTGTATGCCCCCAAAAAAGAGATGGGGGTAATAGTAAATGGGAGGCTTACAGTGAAATTTAGAAGCCTCTTTTATAATAATGGGGTGAACAGATATCTGCCCCCTGCCAAGGGAATTAATACAATGGTACAGTTTTTAAACTGAGGTTTTATGTCTTTTTTTTGCTATGTATATGAATTTTAGGTTTTACAAATAAACATTAAACACAGGGCGTGACCATGTCACAGGATTTCAGAAGCATTTTGGGTTTCCCAAAGAGGGAGCACAGAAGAGTCTGTTTAATTTGCAGGCACTGGGGTTATTTATCGAAACAGGAGCAGACAGAAACTGGTTACTGTGGGCAACTGCTCCAATCAGCTTCTCTCTTTAGTTTGTTCAGTTAAGCTTTGAAAATAAAAGATTGAAGCTGATTGGTTGCCATGTCCAGCTGTTCCAGGTTCTGTGTACTCCAGTTTTTATAAATTCCTTTCTCTGTCTCCAAATGAGTTTCCTGTATGGACCCATTTGAAGTCAGAGAAAGGGGAAGAATTCAGCTTGAGTTGTGGGGGGTGATTTACTAACCTAAACACACGCACGAGGTGTGTGTGCATTTTTACACAGCAAAACGTATTTATCAACCAAACACGAGCAACGTGTCACATTTTCACGCCGTTATGGCGCGTTTTTATGTATTTACCTACGTGTGCGTCATGTAGCATGCGCCATAGGCTACACGTCGCTCTAATAGTGGCATGCAAGTCTCTAAAAGCATATTTCCACTAATGCCATATATGGAAAAATCATGCACATGATGCATATATAATGCTGCTTCACAGTTTAGACAAAAATGGTTAGCTCATGCATTTACATTCCTGCATTCATCAACGCAAGCAACACAACGTAGAGCTAATTTACACAACATCACCTTGCAATTCATGCAGGGCTTTGCACAACACACCTGCTGGGTGTGTACACACTACAAAGGTGTCTAGATTCCACCAATAGATCATGCTGGGAGGGAACACACTACAGAGGTGTATACTTGTTCGTGGCGTGTTTATAAGGTTAGTAAATCAACCCCGTGGAGTCTTACTGTGGCCATACACACTGCTTTCTTTGTATGGAATACCTAATTTTCATTATTATCTATGTTTTTATACCCTTTCTCAATACACCTTTCCATGTTAATTCTTGGTTGTGTTTATGTCTGGCAATATAGTAACACAGAAGCATGGATTCAAGGGAGATTAACAAAATGTAAAAGTAATTAAATACAGTATATTTATTACATATATAAACATACAGTAGATATTACATTTGTGACCTATAGTTTCTCAATAATCAATCATTATTCTAATGAGTTAACTAATTCACTTTGGCAGAATAGTAATCTCTCATAAAAATGGAACTTTGCTTTTTTTTTTATATACAAATATGAATATGTATAACCACATTGAAGGCCCCTTTAGAAATGTTATGCATCGTGGAGCATCAAATTGGCAGGAGGAGGGGGTGGAGGCATTCATAGTTCACTTTTTCAACCTGTAAAGTTAATTGTTTCATACACAGTAGGCACATTCCTAATAAGCTCCTATGATTTGCTATTGAAGCACCTGCTCTCTCCATCCAACACTTCTCATCTTTGGTGCTGTATACGTGTCATCTCACTGACATGGAAGATTGTTAAACATAGATAGACAGTATCAGTCTCTGGCATACATTCCCTCCTTGTGTAGGGTAAGGTAGAACTCAAAAATGCCTACTGTAATGCAAGGTACCAGTTTCAGATATGTGCAGCATCATACGGCCCCACATAATAATTTCTCAGATACATTACATCCTAAAATGTATTATTGCATTGTTGTCTGAAAACATATAAAAAGCCATTTTACAAAGTCAGCAGGCATTGGGCTTGTTTCGCTGGCTTCTGAGATCATTCAGAATTGGTATTCATAATTGGCAGGATAACAAAATAAACCCCACCATGACTTTATCAAAACTTAATTTCATCTGTTTAATCTCACACTGTTCTTTCTAAATCCCATGTATTCCACAAAAACTCTTCCAACTATAATCTGGTAATGACTCAAGAAATTCTAGTTTGTTGGCAAGAAAGGTCTGACCACTAGAAAGTTTGTTACCTCTAAACGCTGGACATGCCACATAGGTACACCAACAAGTGCTGCTATCAACCACACAATACCTGTAAAAAGATTCAAAATATTATAACAAATATGTAATTGTAGAAAAAGGAATACTACATAAAAAGGTACACTCTATTTTTTATTAATACAATACACACTTTCTTTGAAAGGAACTGCAACCTCAGTGGCGTCCTGTGTTTACGCGTGTGTGTCTATATGTGTGTGTTCCCTATAAGCAAGAACATTATTTACAGACAATCCTCCATTGCAGGGCACACTCCCACCTTGTCGCTCACCTTTCACCCCTGTAACCTCTTAGCCTCTAGTTGATCATAGGTTATGTTCATGTGGCTCATGGCCTTTCCCTTGCATGTTTGTCACTTCTTGGTGATCTTTGTTCCACTATCTGGTTAGACACATGGGAGTGGTCTTTGCTCTGCTTCACTTCCTGGTTGGTCACATGGTAGTGACCTTTTTTTCTGACCGCTGATTTGTTGCCTGCCCTATAAAGGGATTTTGTCCTTTTACACCTTACCTATGCTACAGTTAAGGAGAACTATGGGGTTAAGGCTTTTCCCCATAGTTCTCCTTAGGGTAACGGGAGGACACAAACTAGCGTCCTCCCGTCACCTTAGGCTCAGTATACCGCGAGCTGTAGCTCGCGGTATACTGTGATGCCGCAGTATACAGCGAGCTGCTGCTCGCGGTATACTAAGACGCTGCAGCTGAAGCAGATCCCGACAATTGTGCCTGGGATCCGCCCAGCTGCGTGAGTGACAGGTAGATAGGCAGAGCCAGCTGTACCCGCCCCCGTCCGTTCCGCCAGTCAGCGCTGGCGGATCGGAGCAGGGAGGGGGGAATCCAGCCCCTCCCCTGTCACGGCAGAGAGCCGTGACAGGATGGAGAGATGAGCGAACGCCGGTATGTGTTCGCTCACCTCCCGATCTACTGAGCCGACCTGTGACAGTCCCATTGTCACAGGTCGGCTAGAACTATGAGGTGAGCGAAAAGCACTCACCTCATAGTTCTCCTTTAGCTTCGCTCTGCTGTTTCTCTTTGGATTTCTGACCCAGACAAACCCTTGACCTCTGCCAGTTTGCTGCCCAACCTGACTAAGCTTTGTTTACTGACTTGGTTTGTTCCCACAGTTTTCTGACCTCTTGCCTGTCCCTGACTACTTATCGGATTAGCTCTGTGTGTGTTATGTCCGGCCTATCAGGCCTAATATTCCTTGTATAAACAGCTTACATCACATTATATTTTTATAGTTTAACCATGGTTCTACTTAAGATCGTTTTTGGTTCAATTGGCTTTAAGTGACTTCTGAAGGATATGGAAGCTCCTTTCCTTTCTATTATATATATATATATATATATATACATACATACATACATGCACACATTCACACACAGTACTGTGCAAAGGTTTAGGCATGTTTTGTGCTTTAATCTTAATAATACTACTCTACTGATAAAATGCTGAAGTGTTTATTAAAACAATATGTGTTTATACAACCAATCAATAAATAAACAATAATCAGATTCTTGTCTGTTGGAGGCAGCGCTGAGTGATGACCTAATAGATATATAAGGTCCAACAATAGAAGTGCGCAGTGGTGGAGAGCACTTAAGAAGGAATATTGTACCTTATGTGGAACACTGCATTGAATGTGCAATATTATATGAGACTATGAGGCTGTTATCAAGGAGTTGAATTGTTTTTAATTTGTAAATGAATTATAACACTAGTAGTTTCTAAAACAGAATTGGTGGCTTAATATCAATGCACAGAGGAGACACATGTATGTGGGAGATTAATTGGATGATTAATTAATTAGTCAAGAGATTAATTAGCTTTTTATATATTTATTTATCTCGGTAGAGCAGCAGAGGACAGCCCACATACTGATTATTTTATTTATGGTTTGTAGGAACACAGATATTGCTTGAATAAGCACTTCAGCATTTTATTAGTAGAGTAGTATTATTGGTATTAAAGCGCCACACACCTCGCACACCATTCAGATAATCAGTGAGTTATGACGCTTACCCTGTGCTGGCCAGATTAGTGAGGTCAGGTTCTAAGTCTATTAGCACAGAAGTAAAATATTGTACGTGTGAAACAATTCTGTAAAGTGACAGCATTTTTAAAAAAAAATATCATTATATCAATTTCAATTATCAATCTAGAAGCCACATCAACAAAAAAAAACCCTTAACATTTTCTGCACGCCAGTTCACACCAGTTGCGTTTTCCTGCATTTTTCCACGTCAGAGGTATGACTTTTTGGCTGCAAGTCTTCTATGTATACTACTTCTATATTTTATTGTGGGTGGGTATCTGAGCTGATAGTGCCAATAGACATCTTCAGATTGTGAAAGAAAGCCAGCATGATGTGTCTTTCATCAGCATTTTCAGTCCTCAATTTTGACTGCTTCATTGTGGTTCTGCAAAAGAACTTTGGCAGCAAATCTTATCAGTACCACTTATCTTTCTTGGAATTTCTGTCTATTCTTGGTGCAGTAGGACCACCCTGTGTTTTGCTGCTGTGCTCAGTCTTCCGACTGTGTAAGATTATTTACATTGAACTCAACTTTTAAGTAGAACATGGCTTTTTCTTATCCAGTTTTATTTTTCCTACACAGCGGTTTGTTTGATTTAATGGTTGTGTTTTAACCTTCATGTTATCTTGTAGATTATTAGCACATGTTTGGTATAATTGCTTACTCATACATTGGACCATATGCCTGCAAAATCCTAAATGTAAGCAAGTGTACCTTGGAGAATAGATGCTGTTTTAACCCTTTTACTGCCATGGGTGAAAGGGTCTCATCAGACCTGGACTCTTGCCAATTCCCGAGCGACTGTGAGCTGTGTATGGCTGGCAGCCATACACAAAAAATGTGGGCACCCTTCTCTCTATTGTTACCCACTGTCTGCATTCCACTGTTTTCCCTCCCGCTTCTACTTCAGTCCCAGTCCTTTCCTCTTAGGTGCACCCTTGGGTCCTCAGTCACTGCCTTCCACTGCCTGCCAATCTCCAGCTCCACTTGCAATGAGACCCTGGAAGTGCTCAGTACTGAGCATATCCAAGTTCATTCAGCATTCAGTATATCCAAGTTCATTTGCTATCTAAGATAGCAAATATGTCTTAAAATCTCCAGTACTGAACATTTCCATTTTAAGTGGTCTGCAGAGTGGCAGTTGAGAAGAAAATTGGGGACTCTATTTCTCTCTGCAGGTCATATGGGAAACAACAAGGATCTGCTTAGACCTTGATTATTTTCCCAAAGATTACACATAGCAAAATACACACATGCCATATCCCTGCACATATTAAAGGTTTGAGAAAATATTTTAGGCTGCCATCAAACTTTTGTGATATGCATTGTGTTGTGCATTAATGGGTGTTGTATTAGGGCAGGGGTAGGCAACCTTGGCTCTCCAGCTGTGCTGAAACTACAAATCCCATCATGCTTCTGTCTCTGGAAGTCATGCCTGTGACTTGCAATGCCTTATGGGATTTATAGTTTCAGCACAGCTGGAGAGCCAAGGTTGCCTACCCCTGTATTAGGGCAACCCATTTGTTTTAAAAAGACTGCCAATGCACTTCAATTTACCAACACATCCAAACGCACATGGCTTTTTCTCAATGCACTGCACCACAAAAACAGTATGTACTTTTTGATAGTCTGGATTGCGGGTGCATTGCCTATTACCATATATTGCGTAAGATGCCATTCATAATGAATGGTACAACCACGCGCTGCACTTGGTGGTGCCCTATTCATTTATGTCTAATGTGTTGCAGTGCATCACACATGCATATTAAAAACATTCTCACTTTGCCTATTTAGGCTTCCTGACCCACTGATATTTAAATCTTACTGTGATCCCCCACCATACCTGCCTCCAGCTTAGCTAGCACCCACTGCTTTAGAGTATAGGAGAACATATGCACTTCTTCTATGTAACAGTGCTTGGATCAATCGGTAGATTTAAACACTTTTACAAGATGGAGCTGATGATGTCCTGGCTACCAATAAACACAGACACATGCCGACACATTAGCACAACACATAGCTGTAAAGCCAGCCTTTAGACTTTTACCATAAATGTATTTACAGTTTTGCATACTTTAAATTTAAAATGCAAATATGCAAAATAAATAGCTTTTAATATTTTAATTTTTAATTATTAAAATATCATTTGATAGTTTATTATTATTCCTACGTCAAAATAAAAAAAAAATAAAAAAACAATAGCCACTCAACATGAAAAAATGTAAGGCATGGACTGATAGCTAAAGGGTTAACACACCAAATAATGCTTCGTTTTTTATTCTGTTTATGAGCTTTTGAGGTTGTTAATTGATAACTATTTATTCCATTATTTTTCAACGCATCCTCACAAGTGCCTTAAACATTTGCACAGTACTGTATCTGATATGATAAATTATTGTAATTATAGAAAATTACTCACCTAGCATGGTGAATGCTCTTCTATTTGTGTATTGCCATTTCATCTTTAGAGGATGTATGATTCCCTGATGTCTTTCCACGGCAATACATGTCATTGTGAGAATTTCAGTGACAATAGCAGTAGACTGAACAAATGGGACCATTTTACAAGCAAAGGCACCTACAAAATGATCACAACAAAGATGAATGAGTTTTAACATTTACTCTTATAATACATAAAGTACACATTAGGCTTACCATACAAAGTATTGTTGCTAATCTCCATCTCCAAGTACTAACTCAGCTGCAGATTATAAGGTAGCACAGTAATGCATTTATACGGCAACTCTTTTTATCTCTTGCTCTTTTAGGAAATACCTTACTATACATCATGTGCCATTTCATGAATCTAACATATGCAAGACTGATATTTCAGCTTTTGAATGTCATAATCCAGACATACATATTCAACTGCCAAATTATATTTCCTTTGAAGGTCAAATTAGTGGCTGCAGTTATCTCAATGCAAGTCAGAGTGGGAGAATAACCAGTTACCTGTGGGGTCAGCTTTTGGGTAAAACAATGGCAATCAGCTAAAAACACCCAACATTGTCAACTGCTGTTTCCCCGAAAATCTGGTACTCTTAGAGAATTATACAGTATAAATGTTTTAGGAGATAAACAGAACAGATTAAAAATGAAAAGGAGCAGGAATGCTCGGGAGGATTATGTCCAACACACACGATTTATTTTCTTTTGCAGAGGAAGCTAATGCTGAGCAACAAGCTGTAGAGCAAAGGTACATGAAGGTCACATATCACATATTCCTGACACTGGTGAGTGCCTATTCTCATCCTGGCTTTGGCTGTGCTCAGAGCAACCCGAATAGGAGCTGGAGGGGCCCTCCCACTTGAGCCTCATCTGCCTTCGGTTGTGCACACAGCAATCTAAATGAGAGATGGAGGGACCCTCTCATATGCTTAATTGTACAATGGAGCTTAAGTGTTTTGCTGAGTACACTGGAAACAGGAATTTAAAAATGAAACATGCCCTATTCAGATGTGTTTTTACTGTGCTTGCAATAGCCCAGACCATGATGAGGAGGCACTCACAAGACCAAAGAAATCACTCAGCAGTTGCCTTCCTTTACATCTACAATACTGAACACTACCCTCTCCACTCAGGTTCCAGCAGTAGTCTCTCTGTAGAGGTCTGATACAACCCCTGCTGAGTCAAAGCTACGGCTCCCCAATCAGCAAAACCCCTCGTCCCAGCTGATTGAAGAGGTCCAGCTCTGACTCAACAAGAGGTGTGTCAGACCTCTACTAGTAGGAGACAGGTTTTTCTGTTAACTCTGTGGCTACTTTCTAAATGAAACAAACTGTAAGATTTTGAACACCTTTTGTCATGTATTTAGTTATTTAAATTAAACTTTCCGTTAAGCTTTTAAAGTGTATGTAAAATGAATTCATATTAATCCAAAATATGAGAGTTGCCACCAGATCTGGAGGTAAGAGGTAATCACCCAATGGGGCCACTTCTTCAGGAGACGACTGTCTAAGTGGGCATGTTAAGATCCCAAGAAAATTATATATCAATAAACAATGCTATTACTGTGGTCTAGGAGCATAATCTATTTATTTATGAAATTAAAATGTCATCTGCATTTAAAGTCCAGGTATATATTAACTGTGCTCCTTCTGTCACTGTACTACTGAGGTTTAATATGTCTACACATAACTGTCATCAGTAAAAATGGCAATAGAATGTTTCCTTTAATAAAAAGTTTAGAAAGAACTGGCCCAATACTGACCATTGGAGTATGACAGTGCTGTCATGCTCCAAAGTTAACTTTATCCCATTTTAGATATATTCTGTACACAACTGAGCTTAGGCTCCTAACTTCTAATCAATCTCTAAAAATGCACATACATTCTGTTCCTATTTTGCCATCCTCATATTTTATGCCAATGTGTTTAAGATCAACAACTACAATACCACAAGATTTTGCAAACTACATATATATCAACATCATTTTAAACAACCAAATTTAGACTTGCCTCCTCATAAAAATGATAATGCTAGTTAGACATGACTTCTGATGAACCCATGCTGATTCTCTGTTATTAGTTTTTACTCTTTTTACTCTACAATTTCATTCCTCAACAATATGGGGTCTATTCACGAAGCTGCCGAAGGATCTAGCCGTAGCTTCGGCCGATCCTTCGGCTAACTTCGGCCCCAGGACCCCTTTGGTTCAGTAGAACTGAAGGGGTGCTGTACGGGCTATTCACTATAGTCGGTACAGCTCCCGAATGTGGCCGAGAGGCTCAGTCGAGCTGAACGCATATGCATAGGTTCGGCTGAGCCGTGATTAAAGCCGCGGCTGGCCGTTGGCCGGCCGACAGCCTGCTTCTGACAGCTGGGCGGAGCCAGCCGTGATCTTACGGCTGGCTCCGGCCACTTGAAGAGAGATCAGCATCCCTGGTTACCTGCTAACCAGGGACACTGATCTCCAAACAGCTAACTCTCCCTGGCGCCCCGGGAGTCTCCTGCTCACGGCCGCCAAGGAAAGAAACACTGCTGTTTCTTTGTTTTCTTTATTCTGACACGAGCGAGGTTAGAATAGAAAGAAAAAAAAAATCCCATTGAAATGCATTGCTACATTACTATTGGCTATTTCAATTTGCAATAGCCAATAGTAAACTAGCATTGTACCCGCCCTCTGCTGCAGTTCTCCGTGAGGTCCATCAGCTGAGGGCGGGTACAATGCTAGTTTACTATTGACTATTGCAAATTGAAATAGCCAATAGTAATGTAGCAATGCATTTCAATGGAAAATTATTTTATTTTTTTCTATTCTGACATCGCTCCGTGTCGGGAGGCTCCCACAGCAGAGCAGCCGGACAATGGGAAACTATTGGGCGGAGCTAGCTGTCACTGCTAGCTCCGCACAATTGTTTTCTATTTACTTTTTTTAACTTTTTAAACTATTTTTCTGTTCTGCTCGGTCCCGCTGAGGGACCGAGCAGAACAGTCGAGCCGAAAGCCGACCCGACGCCACCGGCCTCTGTCTCCCCGTCGAGCCGAATGCCACTCAGCGGCATTCGGCTATTCACTCACTGCTGTTCGGCATCTATAAGAATAGGCTGAACAGCAGTGAGTAGCCTGCCGGATGTTCGGCTCAGACGATCCAGATGTTGGATCGGCTGAGTCGAACTCCTTCTGCACTTCGGGTCGGCCGAACATGCCGAGCTGGAGGCTTCACCTTGTTACATGGAGGCAGCATTGATGCACCCCCCCCTCCCAGCACCCCTCCCCTCCCCAGGAGACGAAGAGAGCAACTGAATCTAATCAACTGTGCACTGTAAGTCCCTGTTTTTTCTGTGTAAAGGTGCCCATGCACCTGACGACCATCGTATGATAATCGCGGGTGATCCCGCAAACGTACGATAATCGGCAGGTGTATGGGCAGCGTACGACCGCATCTACTGTAGGGTCGCACGACATTCGTTTTCTGAGCACGCTGGAAAACCTGCCAAAAATCGTACGATTTTCAGCGGGTTGGTGGTATGCTCAGAAGACAAAAGCCGCAGGGGCCGGTGGGGCACACTGCCCGCTCAGCATTGCAATCATCAGCAAGCCTTCACCTCAGCGGGGAGGGCTTGCAATGATCACAAGTACGATCTGCTTGTCCAAGATGGGCAGATCGTATGAAATTTGAATGACCTTACAACCATCGCACAACGAAAGTCACTGCTGACCTCTGCACTCCGAGTTACATTACTGAAGACCTCTGTACTGCTGACCTTTTGCGTCACACCGCTGGCCTCTGGACTCCGCGTTGTTACTGATCTCTGTACTCTGCATCACACCACTGACCTGGCGGAGTTAAGTCCAGGGCAGGGTAGGGGTTAGGTGGGGCAACTGGTGGCGTGTAACTTTTAAGGCCTGGCTAGTAGCTCAGGACTTGAAATTTTGAGCCCAGTATATATCCCCAAGACACAGGGGAGTAAATGGTGGGAGAAAGAGGGGAAACCTGTTCAAAGGAGTCACAGGCACCAATAATAAACTGCCTAGTTCTAAACCTTCTCCGCTTTATTCAAAAACAAAAATAGTTGGACCATAGTATCCCAAGCGTGCTCTTTTTTGACATCTTCAACATTTGAAAGGAGTACTCCACAGTCCACCTGTGTTTGGAGCCCCTGCATATTTTAGAGCATACGTGTATGTAGAACAGCTCGGTTGGAATAAAAAGGCAAACCATTTATTGTCTAGCATAAGGAAGGTATTACATTTGGATCTTGACAAAATGGCAGCATGGGCAAATTAAATGTATTTTTTTTCTCCTAGGCAGGAGGAAAAGTATTACCCTGTATACACTTTTGGGCAAAACAGATAGAGAAACATTTGGTAATACTAGTTAACAATAAGCTAAGCACTACCACTACAACAAGAGGCAACTGAAAAGCAAACAATCATGGGACAAAAATGAGAGCTAAGACCAGATAAAGCTAATATAGTTAAGCTGTTGTATCAATCACTAGTAAGACCATGTCTAGAATATGGGTTATAATTTTGGGCACCACATTGTAAAATGGGAACATATGAGTTTTAGAGTTCAAATGCAAGAAACGAAATTAATAAAAGCAAAGGGATTAGTTATGGTTTCTATGAAATATAAGAAAATTAAAACAGGTTCATTTTGGAGTATTTTTTTTTTCTCCTGTATGAGCAAAATTGGCAACAGTTACACATGGGTTTTTGTTTGCTTTCCTTTAGGGCTGCAACTAACAATTAATTTCATAATCAATTTGTTAGCCGATTATTTTTTCGATTAACCTCCCTGGCAGTCTGATCATTTCCTTTTTTTTCCCTTTTTTGTTTCTATTTTTGGCTCAATTTTTGGGGGGGGTTTTTTCCCGTTTTTTTACTTTTAAATTTCCCGCGGTTTCACATGCCCCCCGCGCGCGCGGTGCGGACGCTCGCAAGGGACGGAACCCAGAAGACGGATGCCGGCATCGGCCGGAGGATCGTGGGCAAGGTAAGTAACGCTCTGTGCAGTGCCTGAGGTGCGGATTCATACGTGTAAGCCAATTGGCTAGAGATTAAATATTTCATCTCCCCTGGCTGAGTGTGGGGGAGGATATTGCTTGACACACAGCTCCGTGTGCAGTGTGT